AGCTTCTCCTCTTATGTCTGACTTTGGCCTGGGCCCCAGTTTGTACATCTGTGAAATGGAGATAATACTACCCACTTTACGTATTGTTGGAAAGGTGAGAAGTAAATAGAAATTGCCCTACATTGTGCATGGCACTAGTCAGAGGTACTGTGTGAATAATCACCATTATCATTACAGCAAGTGGTAGATCAGTCTTACCAGATCTCCATTATGCCAGTGTTCTTCTGTAACGCATCTGCCAATTGGGCCATCCCCTTGGCTGTGATCTGGTTCTGGATAAGCCTGAAAGAAGAACATACCTTTTGTATCCAATAATACTGGATTAAATCTGCCTACTTCATTTGGGAGTTAGGAGGGTTTGATGGGATAAGAGACAGGGTCAGGGGAAAAACTGAGTCCATGTGACTTTTAATCTGGCTAAGATTGTCTAGATCAGATCCACAAGAGTAAATGACAAGCTTTAAAATGTTTAATTTTCTGTATACTTTTTAGTGAGCATAATATATCTGTATATTCAAATGTAGGTAGTTTAATAGATGAACATACTTGTGTGTAAGTGCTTGACATTTTTCATTGCAGGGGTGCCCAATCAAAAACATGGAGACTACCAGTCTAAACAACAATTTCTAAGAAACCATCTGGAGAACCGGCAGTCTGATGTCTCCTTCCAGGTGGCTAGAGAAAGGTAAGACAGTTTTTAAAGAGCTGACCATTCTCTTCTTTGGGGGAACAAAGGCTTCCCTCCATGTCTTCCCCAACATCTGAGAGGGAAGGAGGAGAAACAGTTCAGTTGCTAATAAGGGGTCCCAAGGGAAAGCATCGATAATGGGGCCTCTAAAATGTAAAAGTATGCCCCACTATGCTGGGGAGCAGTGATCCAAATGAAACAGAGGTTTCAGACACAGCTGGGCAGCCCAGACTATTCCTGCAATGCTCCCCTGGGAGGCTGTGCTTCCACCCCAACAAGGAAGCACGCGCAGCACAAGGCAGTGATATGTCTGCACTCCATCACAGGCTCCCTCCTGGCTAGCTGTAGAATAAGGCTACTGCTGAAGTTCTCCCTTAAAAATTGTAGGCACTGACTCATGGCAGCCTAACCAGGAAGATGAGGGCCTATGTTACCCTGATTAATGAGATTATAGAAAATAAGCCAACCCCTTAAAGAGGCAGTAAAGCATAGTGGTTAAAAGCTCCCCTCCTATACACACATCCACTCCCCACTTTTCAGCTACAGATCCATGAAAGAAATACACTTAAGCTGTCTGTGCCTGGGTTGCCTGATCTATAAAATGAGAATAACTGTAAGAGAACCCCTCCCTACCCTGGGTGTGTGGGGTTTCAATAGGATGTGTATGAAGTAGTTCTCTACCATGGTGCCCAGTGGTAAGGACCTCTTGTCACCATTACTGCCCAAGCACACAGGGGACCCATGGATCCCCATCACACTTCCCAAAGACTGGGGCCCCAGGGCCCAGTGGCAGAGGTGATGACCTTCTGGTAAGCATGACCACCATGTAACTTGGAAATTTTTGCAAAAGGAGCAAAAACAGAACCTGGAAGTGGGCACAGAGTTCTGAATTCAGTTGAACTCTGCTGTATTCTAGTCACTTTCCATGGTTGGTACTGCTGGGGGGCAGGGTGAGCTGCCTGTAGCCGAGACCCGACAAGAGTCTGGGTTGGAGGATATGTAAAAAGTTTGGCGGTGCTCAGGCATGTGTGGCCACCAGGGATGACTTCAGTGTGGCCAGTGTGGTCT